TATTTGGAGTCTTCATGTCATTCTGAGCATTCTGGTGAAAACCCAGTCGACGAACAAGGAAGCACGCGCTCACACGACCGCCGTTGTCTCACGCGTCGACCACTTGCACCACTGCAAATCGTGTGAAGGTCACGCACCAGTCATCTTCAACCTCTCATTCGCCACGTCATCAGCCACGTCATCGATGCGTCATCAGCCACGTCATCGACATGTCACTGCCACGTGTGAAGCTCGTCGCCATCAAATTAAAGAAGCATGCATCCATTTGGTAGGAGAATCTCAAACGCAGTCGAGAAAGAGAAGGCCGCAACAAAATTAGAACTTGGGAGAAAATGCGTCGAGAACTCACTCGTAAGTTCTTACCTGACCATTACTACCAAGATAATTTTGTTAAATTTCATAACTTGCAACAAAAATCTTTGACTGTGGAAGAATATAATATGGAGTTTGAACAATTAATGATGAAGTGTGATGTTTGGGAAAAGGACGAGCAAACCATAGCTCGATATCTTGGAGGGTTGGACTATGACATTTCCAAAGTTGTTCAACTTCAACAATATTGGACTTTGGATGATGCAATTCGGCTAGCATTGAGGGTTGAAAAGCAAATCTCAAAGAAGAATATCACTAGTGCTTCAAAACCGTGGGATTTTGCAGCTAGCAGAGGGACTCAAGCCTCAAAAATTGTTGTTAAGACCCCTGCCAAGACTGAGAAGGAAGTCAGCTCAAGCCGTCCAGCTCAACCTAACACTCGAAAGTGTTTCAAGTGTCAAGGATTTGGCCACATAGCCTCTGACTGTCCAATTAGGAGAGTTGTCACCATTATCGGAGGAGAAATTCATGAAGCCTTAGAAGATGAAGCAGAAAAGGAGCAAAATGATGAAGCTGAGCTTGAGGAAGAACTCATCCCAGCTGACCATGGAGAATCTTTGGTTGTGCGTTGTAGTCTACATGCTACCGTAACCAAGGATGAAGATTGGCTTTGACATAACATCTTTCACACCATATGCACTTCTCGAGGGAAAGTCTGCAATGTCATCATTGACAGTGGAAGTTGTGAGAATGTTGTGTCAAATTATATGGTTGAGAAGCTAGGTCTGCCTGTCAAAGATCATTCCCATCCATACAAGTTACAATGGCTACGAAAGGGAAACGAGGTAAAAGTAACCAAACGTTGCCTTGTCTCTTTTTCTATTGGTAACAGGTACCAAGACGACGTATGGTGTGATGTTATTCCTATGGATGCTTGTCACTTGTTACTTGGTCGGCCTTGGCAATTTGACCGAAAGGCTATCCATGACGACCATGCCAACACCTACTTGTTTGTGAAAGATGGTGTAAAGGTCAAGCTCACTCCCCTGAAGCCTGAAGAAACACTTGAAAAGAAGGATGAGGACAAAGCTTTAATCTCCAGATCAACCTTTCAGAGGTTGCACCAAGAGTCGGGGATAGTATGTCTCCTACTATTATCCAAAGTAAATGATGCCACCTGCCCTTTTCCAGAAGAAATTCGATCTCTCCTTGAAGAATTTTTTGATGTTGTTCTTAACGAGATCCCTCCGGGATTACCACCAATGAGAGACATTTAGCATGCCATTGATTTCATCCCAGGATCTGTCATCCCAAACAAGTCTGCTTATCGGATGAACCCTCAAGAGTATGCAGAACTTCAACGACAAGTCAAAGAATTGATGGAGAAAGGACTTGTCAAGGAAAGCATTAGCCCATGTGCCGTGCCTGTGCTACTCGTCCCAAAGAAAGACGAAACTTGGAGAATGTGTGTAGATAGTTAAGCAGTCAACAAAATCACTATCAAGTACCGCTTCCCAATTCCACGCCTTGATGATATGCTTGATCAACTGCATGGAGCTACTGTCTTCTCAAAGATTGATTTGAGAAGTGGATATCACCAAATTCAAATGTGTCCCGGTGATGAATGGAAGACAACATTCAAAACTAGAGATGGTTTGTACAAGTGGACGGTCATGCCATTCGGATTGTCAAATGCTCCCAGCACTTTCATGCGCCTTATGAACCAGGAATTTCGACCCTTCATTGGGAAATTTGTTGTGGTTTACTTTGATGATATCCTGGTATATAGCAAGAATGAATAGAAGCACCTAGACCATCTTCGGCAAGTTTTTGAAGTCCTTAGAGAGCAACAACTTTATATTAATCTCAAGAAATGTTCATTTCTCACTACAAGTGTGACATTTCTTGGATACATCATCACTGCTCAAGGTGTTAAGATGGACCCCAGTAAGATTGATGCTATTGTCAACTGGCCTACACCAACATCGATGCATGATGTTCGAAGCTTCCATGGCCTGGCATCTTTTTACCGGAGATTCATCAAGAATTTTAGTTCTATTGTTGCCCCTATTACTGACAGCCTTAAGGGTGACAAATTTTCATGGAGTGACAAAGCCCAACAGAGTTTTGAAGAATTAAAGAGGAAGCTCACTGAAACCTCTGTACTTGCACTTCCCAACTTTGACTTGATGTTTGAAGTAGATTGTGATGCTTCTAATGTTGGAATTGGTGTAGTGTTAAGTCAAGAAGGTCGACCCATTGCCTTCTTCAGTGAAAAGTTGAATGACACAAAGCTCAGATATTCCACCTATGACAAAGAATTCTATGCAATTGTTCGAGCCTTGGAGCATTGGAGTCATTATCTTCTTTCTAAAGAATTCATCTTGCACTCTGACCATGAGGCATTGAAGCACTTAAATTCTCAACAGAAGATCAGTCGCCAACATGTTGCTTGGAGTGAATTTCTACAAGCTTATCCTTTCCTCCTCAAATACAAATTTGCGGTCCAGAATCGTGTAGCTGATGCTCTGAGTCGCCGACATGCCTTGCTTACTTCCTTACAAATGAAAGTCACTGGATTCGAAGTGATCAAGGAGTTGTATGAGGATGATCCTGATTTTAGCAACATTTGGCAAGCCACTTCTAATCAAGCCCTTCAGTAATATCATCGCCAGCAAGATTACCTCTTCAAGGGTAACCGACTATGTGTTCCATGTTGCTCACTCCGAGATTCAATTATTTGGGAAGCACATAATGGTGGATTAGCTGGTCATTTTGGGAGAGATAAGACTTTAGCTCTTGTTAAAGAAAGTTTTTACTGGCCAAAGTTGGAGCAGAATGTCATTCGTCACATTCAAAGATGCAAAGTTTGTCACCAAGCCAAGACAATCAATCAAAACACAAGGTTGTACCTGCCATTGCCTATCCCAACTTCACCTTGGGAAGATGTTAGTATGGATTTTGTCCTTGGTCTACCACGAACTCAATGAAGCAAGGATTCTATCATGGTCATGGTTGACAGATTTTCTAAAATGGCTCACTTTATTGCTTGTCAGAAAACTAATGATGCTTCTCTCATTGTTGAGTTATATTTTAGAGAGATTGTGCGTCTACATGGAGTTCCAAAGACCATCACTTCAGATAGAGATGTGAAGTTCATGAGTCATTTTTGGAGGACTTTATGGAGAAAGATGGGCACTCAACTCCAGTTTAGTTCTACTAGCCATCCCCAAACCGATGGGCAAACTGAAGCTATCAATAAGATTTTGGGGAATCTACTACGAAGTTTTGTGGGAAAGAATTTGCGACAATGGGATCTTGTGCTTGCCCAAGTTGAGTTTGCCTACAACAACTCTTTGAATCAAGCTACGGGAAAATGCCCATTTGAAGTAGTATATGGAGTGTGTCCTCTTAGTCCTTTAGATCTTGGTCCATTGCTCACATCTTGACAATTTAGTGCAGATGCTGAACAATGAGCCAAGGAGATCAAGAAACTTCATGAAGAAGTTCGTGAGAAGTTACAATGTCAAACCATAGGTATAAGGCTCATCATGACAAGCACCAAAAGAAGGTTGTGTATAAAGAAGGAGATTGGGTTTGGATACACCTTCGAAAGGAAAGATTTCCTAATCGACCTAATGTCAAACTCGCCCCTAGAGCAGATGGTCCTTTTCAGATAGTGGAGAAAATCAATGATAATGCCTACAAGATCAAACTTCCAGGTGACTATGGAGTCTCTGCTACTTTCAATGTAGCTGACTTATCTCCTTACTATGAGGATCATGAGCATTGAAATCAAACTTGAGGACAAGTTTTCTCCAACCAGGGGAGAATGCACCAGGGAAAAAACAACAAGCATGCAGAAACTACTCTGCAGCACCACTAGGCCGGTGCAACTTTGTCAAAGTGGCCATTAAATGGCTAACTCCCAACTGCATTTTCACGTTTCATTTATTGCCTTATGTTAGACTTTGCCTTTAAATAGCTATGTTCCTTTCGTTGTATGGATAAGTTTTATCAGTTAATGAAGTTTCAATTCTCCTCTATTTTGAGTGAGTTTTCTTGGGAGTGGATTCTCTCAATTTATCTCTGTATTTTAGGTCTTGCCAACCTAAGTGGTGTTCCCGGCAATCAAATTCATCGTAGTGGGATTTTAAATCTCGCCAAAATTGGTGTTTCGATATCGACTCCTACGCCAATATATAATCATATATATAATTTAATTAATGGAGTAGAGTCGATGTTATTAATAGGGAAAATGATTGGTA